GAGTGATGAATTCTGACCCAGAAAAGCAAGCACCATGGCACTAAAAAATGAAAAGTTGGAAGAAAGGAGGCTTGGTTTTCATGTAGTCAGTATGAACAACTGCACTAATTATGTTTTTTATTATCCCTGCAATGATCTTGGTGCTACCATAGATAACTGGTTTTCTATGAACTGCAGACAGTATTTTCCCATTGATATTATCTACATTTCATGTAACTTCCAAAGTTCCAGGGGAAATGTACTGGTGAACTGAGGGGTTTTTTTTCAATCACCATCTAAACACTTCTTAGACAGTGAAATCTCAACATAAGGTGTTTTTGGTTGGGTTTTTTTTTGTGCAAAAATAGTAATTGCCAAAACATTCATCAGGTTTATTTTTCTGCTTTGTGGGAAAAGCTAGATATAGAAACAGGTCTGCTATAATTTGGTATATGATATTTCGTTATAAAATAATAATCAGAAAGATTTTTTAAAACATACCAGATCTGGAGATAATGCAGATAATGATTTTAGGAAGGGAAATGTTGAAAGCCAAATAGCAGGGCACAATCAGAAAATAAATGGGAAGCTCTACTCTGGAAGAAGACATGAAAATAAATTGAAGCTTGAGGGAAAGATGGAAAGGGAAAGAACAAAACTAATAATTTATTTACCAATTCAGTCATTTAAAATTCTAATTTATGTACCCATCTATCCCACTCTATGCTGTGTGTAACAAAACTTTCATCAATACAGTAAAAAGACATCAAGTGCTTGAGCTTTGTCCTCCTCTCCCCTGGAAGCAATAAAGGATATTTTATTAATCATTGCTCCTGCTTCACATCTCCCCCTCCTGAAGGTGAGGAGGCAGTGAAGAAGCTGAGTAGAGGTCGTTATTTCCATACTTGTCCCTGATGCCTTTCCTTCAGACTGCCATCAGAAATGGGTTTGCAAATACCTAAAGAGAACTGAGCTCATTTGGGAAATTAATTCTACCAGAGCTTGCTGTTCAGGTTAAAAAACCCAAACACCGTTACCACCCCCCCCCAAAAAAAAAAAACTCAACAGAGTATCCCTCATTTCTTTCAGGAGGCTTTCGTTTCATGATGTTGCCAGCTGGCAAAAGGACCAAAAGAGCTACAGCGGTGTGACCTTTCTAATCTTGGTCCATGTTGGCAGGGCAGGCAGCTGTAGAGCAGGGCTCTGCGGCGGCAGGAGCACAGCGGTTCCATCCGCTCCCCTGCAGAACTACACAGGGAGGGGTCTCAGGGCACTTTTGGGTCCCTCGTGGTGCAGCATGCACAGCACGGGGCATTACAGTAGTGTTAGTTTTACAGTGCTGTGCACTGCTCCAAATGCCGTGTTAATATGCTAATGCTATGTTAATAAACACATCACTTCATATTAGTGCATTCATTTATGCCTCCTATTACCATATATTTCATTGTAAACAGTATTTTAAGATACCAGTTAAAAAACTTATATTTGTTCTTTATCTAATATTGTTAAATAGTGATTTCAAAGCATTTTACTGCAATGTTTCAAATCTTGAAGTGGATTCACTCCAAGACTAAGTGAATCATCCTTTTCATTTGTTTTATAGATGAGACTAAAACTCTCACCATAGTGATTTATAATCTAGCATTATCTCAATTCCTGCAGAGAGGATATACAGTGTAAAAATACTTGATCTGAGCTGAGAATTTCAGAGTAGAATCATCTAAAACACTATTTGATAAAACATGACAGGATTTGTTGAGGAACATATTTCATCAACTGCATGTGAAACTTCATGGTAATACAAAATATTGAAAGAGAACAGCCTTAGAAACAACTCACAACTACTCAAAGCAAGAGCAAATCATGTAAAAAGGCAAATTTGTGATCAGAACGGTCAACTCAACAAGATTTTCTACAGTGGACAGGTAGATTTATGTACCTACATCTGTTTACATTGTAATCACCACCTTAGTGATCCAGTCTATGAAAACAAAATGAACATAAATTATGTCTTGAACAAAAGGATCCATTTTGAAGAGGTTGTGAAGCACTAAGTTGCTATATACACACTGGAATCCTACCACAAATAAGCCTGATTCAGAATATAATTTGTTTACAATAATTGGCTGTATGTTTCCATACCTTAATTTTCCCTCAGGTTATCTTTTAGCTAGTTTTTCATGTTTAGAAGCCTGTTTTGTTTGTATGTCACAGGAGCTGTGGCTTGTACAGCATGTGTTTCATCCAATTTAAGCTTCTCAGGTGAAAGATCTTTTAGCAGAGAACTGATATTTGTGAGCTCTGTAAATTTTGTCTCTGTTTTAGCCCCATTTTCTTTAATTTAAATGTATCATAAAACTGTCAGTCTTAAACTGAGTATCTGAAATCACAAAGCATCCTGTACCTGATTTATTATTTAAGTGCACTGTTCGTTTCAGCACATTCTTATTCTCACTCTTTATTAAATAAGATTGAGGGAGCAAGAGTAGTGTAGGAAAAAAGGCAAACATGCATGTTATTTCTGATGTTCTGAAACATTAAGGAGATCTAATCACAGAAAGCTCCAAAAGATGGAAGTTACTGGTTAAGAAGAAAGACAATGAAACAATAAATGCATAAAAGTCTGAATTCAAGGTCTGTTACTCGAGAGTGTTTCTCTTCAGTTAGAATATGAGGCATAGAGTCATATCTTCCATCTTCTACAAAACTGGAAAGATACAGGATCAAGAAAGGAATAATGGATTTAATGAGAGTTAGGTGAACCAGTGGATTACTGAAAGTATCTACATAACATTGCATCTTCTTCGAGTGTTTCCATAAAGAAGTAATTAATAGGACTGAGGGTACCACAGATAGTACTAGAGGAAAAAACCAACCTACAAAGTAAAGAAGCAGCAGGTAGAGATGTGAACTGTCCCAGTCAGTGATATGCGCTGTGTTATTTCCTCCACAGTTCCCTGTTGAGCTGCAGAGGTAAGTGCTGAATGTAATCCATAGAAAAGGAAGAGAAGTCACAGAAGAGATCACCAGGGATCCTAGAAGCAGCCATGGGACCATCCCAGTTATTCTGAGCTTGACTTGCAGCAACAGCCATTGGCTGACATTGATTATTTTTACACAGTAGAGTACATAGGGCCAGGTACTGAACCACAAACTGGCATGGTTTTACAGCACCAAAAACTTTGTACACGGAAGTCAACTTAAAGTCATCCGCAAAGTAGAGACAATGAATGTGCCTCAATATAGCCACCTGCACGATAAATCTTGATGTGCTCAGAAAGATCAGGATCATATTAGCAGAAGATTTTTTTTTCCTTTTGATCCAGTTAATGATATTAACAGCTGTAATCTATTTCCAGTAACTCCAAAAACAACTTCAATAGCTACAATAGCTTTTGAAATTATAAGAATTGGTGGTAACATCTTGCTGCTTTGGTCACCTGTGCCTGATTAGATTGTGGAGCTGTGCAAGAAGTTGAGCAGACTTGATGGTATCTGACTATCCCCAGCTCCAGACTGCTCACCTTATATCTAGGAAAAAAAAGACATCTGGAAATGATAGTGGAAAATGGTTGTTGATATTCTTCCCAAATGTGAAAATCAGAGAAGGGTTTAATAATCAATTCTAACCTTTTGGGTTAGAAACTCTTGGGGAGGAGCGGCTGGAGAGCTGCCAGTCAGAAAAGGACCTGGGGGTGCTGGTTGACAGCCGGCTGAACATGAGCCAGCAGTGTGCCCAGGTGGCCAAGAAGGCCAACAGCGTCATGGCCTGTATCAGCAATAGTGTGGCCAGCAGGAGCAGGGCAGGGATTGTGCCCCTGTACTCGGCACTGGTGAGGCTGCACCTTGAATACTGTGTTCAGTTTTGGGCCCCTCACTACAAGAAGGACATTGAGGTGCTGGAGCGTGTCCAGAGAAGGGCAACGAAGCTGGTGAGGGGTCTGGAGCACAAGTCTCATGAGGAGCGGCTGAGGGAACGGGGGTTGTTCAGTCTGGAGAAGAGGAGGCTGAGGGGAGACCTTATCACTCTCTACAACTACCTGAAAAGGGGGTTGTGGTGAGGTGGTGTTTGTCTCTTCTCCTAACTAACTAGTGATAGGACGAGAGGAAATGGCCTCAAGTTGTGCCAGGGGAGGTTTAGACTAGATATTAGGAAAAATGTCTTTACAGTGAGAGTGGTCAAGTGTTGGAACAGGCTGCCCAGGGAGGTGGTGGAGTCACCATCCCTGGAAGTGTTCAAAAAATGTGTGGACATGGAGCTTCAGGACATGGTTTAGTGGGCATGGTGGTGTTGGATTGTTGGTTGGACTTGATGATCTTGAAGGTCTTTTCCAGCCTTAATTATTCTGTGATTCAGGGATTTTACATGCATAATATTTGCCGATGCTTTTCCCTAGGGATGTGGGATAGCAGCTATTAACCTCCCCATAGTTTGTCCAATTGTTTATATTCCTACCTAGAATGAAAGAAACCTCTGTGGCTCTCTGGTCGCAACTGTAACGATGTGGAAGGGGATGCATTATGCAACCCAGCACAGGCAGAAGCATATGTCAAGAGACAAGAAGAGGTCCTGTGTTGTAACTGTTATCTTTCATACTGCTTTGAAGGTGTATCAGTTATAACCACACCAAGTATTTATAGCCATTTTAACATAAAGAATATTGTACAGCCTCCAGCCTTATTTTGGTGGAGCACTCTTGACAACAAAGCTGTATTTACACAAGGTTTACTACTCCATATGGCTGTCCACTTCTTATATGTTAGCCCTTGTATTGTTCACATACTTGGGATCAAAATATGACAGTGACAAGTTGTATGATGAGCAGTGATGACAGGCTAGTGAAGCAGAGCAGCCTACCTAGCAGAACACTGTTAGAAGCCCCACCTTCTCTAGCTGCTTTCACTGTCCCGGCCTCTGTCTCGCCTGCATGCCCCAGAGAAGTTTCTTCCTTCTAGTCCGGCAGATCTAGACCTGTTCTGCTTTAAGGAGTGAAAGTCTGTCATCCATCTGCATATTTATGTCAGCTTTGGCGCGATGTTGTAATGAGCATGGCAGTCCAGGACAGTGGGTGATGCCCATTAGTCTGCATTCTGTATTGGTGCTTCTTTATTAAGAAATACGTCTGGATTTAGAGAGCAAGTTTTCTTCATCTTCTCAACCTCATGCCCATGAATCCAATCTGTGAATACTATATTGGCACATAAATATTGTCAATATATTCTTTCTTGAATTAGTGAAATATGAAACAAAATGTGAAGACTTTGACAACAAGGTAAGAAGCAGATCATTTGTCCAGTGGAAAAATCTGGAAGTTCTTTGGCAGTAAAATATTTATTGTTTTTGTGGGAAAGTTTACATATACCTCTGGAGTCCATTTCTCAAGAGTAAAATGACTCAAAGTAAAGGTAGACTAAGCCTCTAATCTGAATGTGGTAAAAACTGCCAACTGGATTTACTGTTTACAATTACATCCAAGCTTCAAGGTTTTGTTGAGCCATTCAGAAAAGAAACAGCTAATTTAAATTGGTATAAGTACATTTCTTCATTACCTTATTGAAATGAAGGTAATGTAAATGAATACAAATGAAATGAAGAGGTGGATTTAAAATCTCCCTAGCTTTTGTTTCTGTCGATACTTCATTAATATTAAACTTCCAGGTCCTAGTAATCTCAAAGCCTAGGAACTCTTTTTTCTTAAAAAGGGGGCACTTTCTTCATCACAACAATGCAAATTAAAAAAAAAATTGAGACACATGTACAAAATACTGTATATCGGTTCCAGCTTTTAAAAATCCCAAGGGAAAAAAAAACCAAACAAATCTAAACCAAGAATACATTGGCATGTTTACTTTTTCTATCATGTTCTTTACAAAAAATACATGAAATAGTGGAAAAGTCACATCTTACTAAGGAAAAAATGAGAAAGGAAGTGTAACCCAATGCCTACCATGTGTTTTAAAGTCACACACATAAGGCTTCCTGTACACAGAACATGCATTACATAATTAGAATAGTCAGTTACCTCAGAAATGTCGTCGTTAAGTTACTCAAGGGAACACTTTTATGCACTTATAAAAAACAGTACTGCAATTATAAAGTAGAAAAAACAACGGAAGAGACAATCTAGAAAAAATACATGACTAAAATGAATTCTCAGCTGTTCCAACAAGCAGTTAGAAAATTCTATTCTAGCTTCATATGCACCATCAAAAAAGAGAGTTTTAAAGAAAACCATGTCTAACCTTTACCTACCCATTTAATTTTCCTCTAAGCAAGGCCAAAAATTGGAACAACTACTTGGGACACAAAGAAACTTTATTTTCTTGAGGAGTCACAGAATCACAGAATCACTAAGGCTGGAAAGGACCTTCAAGATCATCAAGTCCGACCATTAACCCAACCCCACCATATCCCCTAACCCATGTCCCAAAGCGCCACATCCACACATTTTTTGAACACTTCCAGTGATGGTGACTCCACCACCTCCCTGGGCAGCCTGTTCCAATGCTTGACCACTCTCTCAGTGAAGAAATTTTTCCTAATATCCAATCCCACCAGCTCCTTGAAAAAGAAGCCATTACACAACTATGCACCCTAGTAATATTTAAGTCTTCATGACTCAGGTAAAAGAAACAGCCTGTCCCTCAGTGCTCTGTCAGTGACCTATATCTAATATACTCTGCTCCCAGGAATTGTTTCTAAATAAATATTTTCTCTTGCTTTGTCTTCTAGTAGCTTAAGAGGTTTCGGATGGAATGTACTGGTGCTATAATCTTCAGGGGTTCTCCAGAGGATAATGAGTCCACTCATGGATGCTGGTGACACATACCTATAAGCACCAAGATACCGAAGGCCAGTTTATGGGTAAAAGCAACCAGGACTTGACCATAACTGATGCTGGCTCCAGACAGTGATCATCTTGTCCACTGGAGATCACCATAGTCTTATCTCCTAGTATGCAGCTTCTTGAATTCTCTTGCTCCCTTTCTTGTCCTTTCCTAGCTTCACAGAATCCTGGAATTTCATTTCGGGATTATACTCAGAGAAAAAAATCTTGGAAGAATTTCAACTTTTTACCGACGTCCTACTGATATTATAGTTTTGTGTTTGACAAGTGTTAACCATTTGCTGACTGCTAGTGTGTTATTCCACCACAACTACATTAGAGCACTTTGCAGAACAGTCCAAGAACTCAAGAATTAATATTATCATGATGATAAACATTCAATTTCCTAATGAAAGGAGACAAGGAGATGAGAATAGCTTATTATTGTTTGCTCATAATGTGTGATGGGAAGAAATAAAGAAAAATGTTTTATTTTGAGTTGGAGGAAGGACACTGCTTTCCGGGCAAACATAGTAAGTTTAATTCCAGTGGAGTTACTGTCTACAAGAGCCTTGTGACATTTGTTCACCTCTACATCATGAGCTCCTTAGCAAATAAGCTTTTTACAGCCCACAGTAATGAATGTATCATAAAGTCCAGCTCTGATTGAAATCTTTGAGCACTGGCATAAGACAGTGAAGTACTACTACTATCACTAAGATCCTTATAGTAAAATAATTAAATAAAACAAAGCATGGGAGAATACTTCTTGTATAAGATGCAGAAACAGGCCTACAAAACTTGCAAAGAAAATTGTGTAGGAGAGCCACCAACATCTAGGTTTAAGGAACATGTCCAGAAGCAGCATTCTTGTCTTTATTACTGGCTGTTTGCAGCCGTGACACTTTCCAAAATGGTTTATCAAGTATTCCTCACATATTTGACAAGATATAGAAGGCTTGTGAACCTTAATAAAATACCTTGTATCTGGTAAACAGCAATAAATTATGCTGCCATTTAAACACATTCCTGACTTTGGACATCAAGAAATAATATTGCAAAATATCTCATAAATGTGTGTGAAAAGGTGATAATCTATTTTACCATTAATTTGCAAGTTGTCATGTTGCTGTCATTGTTGTACTGGAGATAATGTACTGTTAATTTGAGTACAACACAAGTCCATTTTTTTTTTCAGAAAGACATTGTCAAAATGAAAGACCTGTCAGACACAACTAATGGAAAGAGTCCTCTGAAATATTTGCAAGAGCTCAAGAAGATCAAACAATGTAACACAGATGAAAAGGAAGATGTAACCACAATTTGCAAACAATGTAACACAGATGAAAAGGAAGATGCAACTACAATTTTAAGGAAGTGAGAATGCACGTACACCCCAAATGGAAAGAGCAAGTGATCGCAACAAACTAATGATGATCATCAGTTCCTCCTTGGCCATCAACAAAGGATTAAATATTCATTAACTCAAGACAGTATTTGTAAAGATGAGTTTATCGTTTATACCATGCAAAGTATGAAAGGAACGGTATTCACTTTCCAAGTAATAGTTGGATGCTACTTGCACATCTTCCTTTT